GAACTCCTGAGCTCAAACAATCCGCCCGCCTCTGCCTCCCAGAGTGCTAGGATTACAGGCATGAGCCACTGCACCCAGCCTCAAAACTCACTCTTAAGAAACATACTGCCTACTGTGGACGATAAAGACAGCTGTGCACGCAGCTATGCACACAACTGCGGGCAATGCATTTCTTTGGAAAGATCCAAGACTATGAACTGACCTTGAACAACCCCCTCTTGTTGGTCACTTATATTTTGAGGCTTATTTCTGCCAATAGTCTCGTGAGTCACGAGGCTCTTTCCCTCTTTTTCTCCTCCTGTTGTTCTCTCCCTCTTTCTCCTTCCCTCCATCCAAATTAACCATTAGCGCACAACTGAAAATGCCTGTGTCGTCCCCAGCTTCTGACCTCAATTTGTAATTCCTTCACTTGCTCTCTCTTTTCTTCCCGTTTCATCGATATCCCATATTTCTCCACGTGTGCCACCCTTCTTCCCACACCACGGAGAACAATATGTTCAAGCTTGTCAGGTGCCCACTAAATGCCAATTGCCACGTTTTACAGAAATTAAAAAGGCTTTCTGTTCCTTTGAAGGAACCTGTATAGCAGGTATACAGGTATACCCCCTGTATAGCAGGGGTAACAACTGTGTGTGCAAACTATTCACATTATTTTTTAGCCTTGTGAAATTTGGTAAGTTTTTTATTACTGTTCAGTATATTCTAGGAAAGAATGAGTATTCTGCATTTGTTGAAGACAGTGTTTTAGATGTCCATTGAGTTGATTCGGTTATTGATATTCAAACCTTCTCTATCTGCGCTGGCTTTTTGACTGTGTGTTCTGTCATTTGCACAGAGAGAGAGAGAGATATGCCAAAATCTCCAACTATGAGTGTGGATTTGTCTGTTTTTACAGGTCTGTCAGTTTTTGCTTTATGTATTTAGAGAATATGTTATTAGGTGCATAAAAATTTTAAATTGTTGGGGTTGGGCATGGTGGCTCACACCTGTAATCCCAGTTCTTTGGGAGACCAAGGCGGGAGGATCGCTTGAATCCAGGAGTTCGAGACCAGCCTGGGCAACATAGCAAGTAATGCCCTCAATGAAGTAATAAAAATTAGTAATCTTATTAAATCTCAGCCCTCGAGTTGACCTTTTTAATAGTTTGTGTGATGAAATGGTAAGCAATGAAATAGGAAGTACTCACCAAACACTTTTGCTGCATTCTAAAATGCGGTGGTTCTTTTGAGGAAAAGCACTTATCTGTGATTATTTTACAAGCCAAACTAGCTGCTTTTTTCACAAAACACCGTCTTTACTTGAAAGAGCAAGTGACAAACAATGGTTATTCAGATTTGGATATGTGGCCAACATTTTCTCAGAAATGAACAAAGTAAGCCTGGTATATTAAAGACAATATCTCAGATTATTTGTTATAAATGATAGAATTCAAGCTTTTAAATGAAAATTAGAATGTTAGATAACATATTGTTACAAGTTGACAGCTTAATAAAGAAATTTTTGATGAGATGGATGGTAACAGCAATGAATGTGATTTTTAATGTATAATGAATTATAGAAACATTTGGAAGATCTGCAAAACTCAGTGAACCAGTATTTTCCAAATGACCAATGCATGATATTATAAAACTATGTGTGGGTAAATTATGTATTCAAAGTGTTAGGCCGAGCAGTTGATTTTAATGTAACAGAATATAAAAGCTTATTGATACGGTTTCAGATTGCACATTGCACTTAACTTTTAAGAAACTATCACTTGTTGCATTTTGTTGCAGTATCAAAGATGAATTTACACAGTTATCTGAAAAAGCTATTACAATACTCTTGCCTTCTCCAGTTAAATATACACACATTGAAAAGATTCGCAAAAATATAAAACATTGCCAGTCTTGAGAACAAAATTTTTTGTCTGGGAAAATATAGTTACTTTCATTTTTTAAAAAATGTGTGTGCTAACATGTAATGGATTCATTTTGTTACTTTTAAATGAATTACTAAATATTTTTTAATTTCTCAGTTTAATTTTTAATATGGTAAATATCGACAGGTATAAAGCACATTTGAAAAGTTCTTTGTAATTTTTATAAATTTAAAGGAGTCCTAGGACCAAAAAATTTGAAAATTGCTGCTTTAGAATTTTTTTTAATAAGGCTCTGCTGGTGGTAAACTCTTGGCTTTTGCTTGTCTAAAAATGTGTTTATTTCATTTTTATTCCTGAAAGATGCTTTCAAAGACAAAATTTATTTTTCTTTAGTACAGTGAAGATGTTATTCTCTTGTCTTCTAGATGTCATCATTGCTGCTTGAGAAGTCAACTATCATCTGTGTCTTCTTTGAAAGTAGCTATTTTTCCCCCCTCAGGTTGTTTTTCAGATTTTTCTCTGTGTCCTGTGATGTTTTATAGTTTCACCTTGACATGCCTAGATATAGATTTCTTTTTATTTATCTTGCCTGGGGTCTGTTGGGCTTCGTAAATCTGTGGATTGGTATCTTTCATCAGTTCTTTAAAAGCCTCAAATATTCAATTCAATTTTTAACATTTGTCTCTGCCCCATTTTCTCCGGAAGTATGACTAAATGGGTACTAATTAGGCCTCTTTGTTGTATTCTGTTGGGCCCTCCAGGCCATAGTCTAGAAAGTTTCTTTTGTCCTACTATTCAGTTTGTAGTTCTGTCTTCAGCTGCATCTAATCTGTTGTTAAATCCATCCATAGAATTTGAAATCTCAGTTACTGTATTTTTTCATTTCTAGAAGATCTTTCTGGTTCTTTTCAAATCTGCTTGGTCGCTCTTTATAACTTCCTAGCTACCTGTGGATATTTTCAAGCTTTGCCTTTTGTTTTTGTTTTTTTTTTAACACTGTAAGCAGAACTGTTTCATAGCCGTTGGTTCTTTATGGGTCTCTGTGCACTGTTCTCCCCGAAGTCACCTTTCCTCCCGATGGGTTTGCTTATCTTTGATTGTGTGCTGCTTTAAAAAAATGAATGAATGTCTGTGTTAATAATCTAAGACCTAGATTTTAAATTACTTTCTCTCAAGATGGTTTGTGCTGGGTGTCTGGGCACATTGCAAGTTTCTGGTTAATTTAAATACAGTTTCCTAGGACCCCAAAATCTCAGTGGCCTCTGGTAACAAATGTCCGTTTCTTGCACCTGTTGGGTGTCCTAATGGCCCTGCTCTAAGTCCTCTCCGCCCTGGGATCCCAGAGGAAGGAGCAGCCTTCTGTCTCGGACACTGAGATGTCACAAGTCACTTCCTCTCACGGCTTGTCCCTGCAGAAGTCACATCGCCAAATCTAAGCAGCAGAGAGAGGGGTATTTAATCCGCCACAGGAAGGGACAGTTGAGTACTTACATTTCTGTGAACGGTGCATGTGTATTGGCTGCTAAAAATTTCTAAATACCTGGTCACTGAGGGGCAACTTGGGAAAATAAAAAATCAGTTTATAAGTGGAGAGTTTAATTGATGAAGGGCCTTGAACTCTGAGTTCTTCAGTTATCCCTGGACTTCTAAAGATGCGTTTTGCTGCTCGAAGAACATTATTTTGTGGTAATATTTTGAATACGTGTTCTGACTTTCCCTTCTCTCTTTTGTTGGCAGTGTCATCAGCAAAGTGGTCCCCGCCCCCGAGGCTAAGCCGGCGCCCTCCCTGAACCGGCCCAAGACGCCGCCCCCGGCCGCTGCGCCCCCGGCCCCCGGCCCCGCGCACCCCGCGCCGCCGCCAGCGCCCCTCGCGGCAGCCTGCCCCGCGCTGCTGTCCCTGCCGGGCCCCGCCGCGGCCGGCAGCGCCAAGGCCCCGGTGCGGAGCGTGGTGACCGAGACGGTCAGCACTTACGTGGTGCGTACGGGCCCGGCCCCTGCGTGCGTGGCTTCCACTTGACACGTGTCCTGTGTGTCATTACCGAATTTCAGAGGCAGTTCTTCGCGCCAGCAAAGTATTTTCACTGCACTGTGGGGGTTTGGCTGCAAGGTGTTATCAATGCTACTGCGCTCGTGTATTCAGTCTGCACGAGTAACGGCAAAGCGCTGTTTCTCTTTATGTTGCAGTATCAGTGTATAAATACAGAGATGAATAGTGATGTTTAAATCCCACACTGAATTTCCTCATCAAGCAATTAAATTATTCACTTAAGAGTATAGGACGCGGTGGCACACACCTGTAGTCCCAGCTACCGGGAGACTGAGGCAGGAGGATGTCTGCAGCCCAGGAGTTGGAGGCTGCAGTGAGCTGTGATCGAGTCTCAGCGTGACAGGGAAACATTTTTTAAAAAAAAGATTTTGTAAAGAGTATAATTTATGTGACGTACACAGATCTTATGAGCCAGCTGGTATTTCTGAGTAACAGCACTAATCACCGTATTCCATTGGCTAAGATCCAACTCTACCAGGGCTTGCGTATTAAATGGAAATGAGCTTTCAGACCACAGAGCTTCCTGAGCATCCAGGTGGGGCTTCACATTGTGAAACCCAGCATGTCGGATGAGTCCACATTGTCCTGAGACTGTTTTTAGGTGTTCTTCTCACACTTAATAGTATCAGGTCTTGTTCAAACCCTGAATTCGATCTAGTAACGCAGTGTTTATGCAGATGTGTTCTTTGGGCACTGTAGGGTAACACAAGCACACGACAAAATATTCGAGGCCCATGGAGGCGGTGACATTGCTGTGACTGCCCAGTGTGCAGCCTGGGATGGCGCCGGTCCTTGTGACTAGATCCTGATGTGGTCGGTAGAATGAAACATACATAAACATGTATGCACCTCCAGTACCCCCGTCACACACAAAGCCTTTTTTGTGTGTGTATCTAGTCAGTGTTGTACTTTAAAGTACAGGAAGCGTACACCTTGCAAAATAAACCTAACGAAATGATATATGCTATCTTACTGCAAAAACTTTTGAAAATTACCTTTTACTTACTGCCGGTTGTGAATGCCCGTCAGAAAATTATTTCTTCCAGGTTGATTTTGTTAATGTGCGGTTTGGGGCAGTGGTACAGTGCTTCCTATGTAGAACTGCTAAGTTAAGTAGACTCTAGAACATGCAGTACTTGCAACAAAATAACGTTTAAATGTATAGCTCTTTGGCCTCCTTAACCCCTTATTTCATTTGCCCTTTAGTTGACTGTACTTAACTTAAAATGTCATAAAGGGAATGGAAAGTTACTTAGTAACAACTCTTTTATATCCTTGATCTTATCAGCTAGTTCAGGAGAAGGGTTGGCTAATCAGTAATAAGGAGATGCGTGCACATTTGGTTGTATGTATTAATTCCAGGCCTATGAATGTGATTGAAGAAAGTATGTATAGTTGAGCTCTGTAGCTTTCAAAAATAACAACTGTTACTGCCATAAAGACCCACCCTAATCATTAAGAATTTATATGATTGTAGGATTTTTTAGGTGTAGGAAATTACAGGTCATATTGTTCACAGAGATTATTATAAAATGCTTTGTTTTTTATGACTTACAAGAGACAGTTTAGAATATTCATTGGAAGTGTCTTATCGTTGAGTACTTAGCAGTTTTCTTTTTCACATGATTCCAGAACAGTGATGACCATGACATAGCTTTAATAAAGTGCTAATCTACTATATTTTTATAGTTAAATTTGTCTGTTTATTAGGTTTACAGTGTCAAAGTAATAATTTTTACCTGGCCTCTTTTTGTTTTTGTTTTTTTTTTTTCCCGTTCCATCTCCGGCTTTGCCCGTCCCCCTGTGAAAACATCAGATCCGGGACGAGTGGGGCAATCAGATCTGGATCTGCCCCGGGTGTAACAAGCCAGACGACGGGAGTCCGATGATCGGCTGTGACGACTGCGATGACTGGTACCACTGGTGAGTGCCCAGAGCGCCCTGCCGGTCGCAGAGCGGCTGTCACCTAGTCAGGACAGCGCCGGTCACTCCTGAGAAGAGGCATCCCCCAGAACAGATGAGCGCCTTCGCACAGTTCAACTGCTGTCCCGAGGACAGCATAGAGAGTAGATCCCAGAGCCTGCAAACTGTCATTAATTACGTAAACCAAGAGTCTTTGGAAATTCTGAATATTTTGCTTAGCTTAGAATTAAAAAAATAAAAAAAGGCAATTCGGAGGTTTCCCTTTCCTTCCTTTCTAGTAATGTTCTGTAAGAGCTACAGTGCTCGACAGAACCATTAAGAGGTTAACCCCTTCGTAAGCACGGTACAAACTGCAGAAATAAAGACAGCTTGTCTGTCTGTTAAACCTCTTCAGCAGTTCCCCAAAACTGAGTAAGCTCAAGTAAAATGTATGCAAATAATCTCATTTTATCTTTAAAATGTCAGATACAGAAAGATAGCAGTCTGTTATGATACGTGATCTCTACAAGGTAAATACGAAGCTGTTGCTCAGAAGGACGCTATTCCTGGCTGCCAGGACGCGCGCGAACTAAGTAATCTCGCCTGTGGAAGAGGCAGCATGTAATGTAGTAATCCACATGCCCGCAACAGTGCCACAGAAATTAGAGCGGTTTGACTTTGATTTCTGGCAAATCTACCATAGACTTTAAAAACTGTTTACAAACATCGACATGAAAAGAATATAATATACATATAACGTGTTTATGTGAATTTTCTTTTCTTAACGTGTAGGCCCTGTGTCGGAATCATGGCCGCACCCCCCGAGGAAATGCAGTGGTTCTGCCCCAAATGTGCCAACAAGAAGAAAGATAAAAAGCACAAGAAGAGGAAGCATCGAGCACACTGACGTCGGCACGCGGTCTGCACCGCACGCTGGGCGCCCAGGCTCTTCCCTGCTCCTCCGGAGGGGAGCGCGGGGGCTTCTGCCGCCACGTCTGCCCCCAGTTCCGGAGGATGGTGGATCCCAGAAGACGGAGGGCAGGAACGCGCCGCCCTTCCCCTTCCGAAACACACCGGCCCGCGGCTCCGTGGTCGTGAGACTGAAGAAAAACTCAACTGGAGGTGTGGCCCGCGGGCTGCCCCCTCTCTCTCCCGTTGCCAGCGGCAGCAAGTATTATTAATAAAAAGGCCGTGCATCTGCCCTTTGGGTTTTTTTTATTCTCTCCAGGGCCTTTTCATTAAGGTATTAGATGAGAAGATAATGTGTAAACTGCCTTGACTGTGATTTAAGGATGATACCATTAGTCTGTATACAGTTTTCAACCCTTTCCCTCTATAGTAAGATAATCATAATAACATAAAAGAAAACTCCAGTTGGAGTATTGGTAAATATTTTTGTGATAAGAATATATGAAGCTTCCCTCCCCCCTCCCCCCGTTTTTAGTACTAACATGTAAAATGTTCAGGCTTTTGTGAAATACCTTATATTTTTTAAGAAAAAGGTTTCTATCATGTCCTGTTTGCTTTGTGCAAATTATTTTTGTTTACTCTAACGTATTTTATATCTTTGTTGCATTCTAATTTTGCCCTTCTTTAAACTGCTGGAGTCTCTTCTCACTGCTTGTACATTTCATCAACTTGTATAAAAACTCTTCATACTAAAAGATTTCCCCTAATGTAAATAATAAATATTTATGAAGTAGTTATTTTTAAAATTTTTATCGTGTTTAATTCTGGCTTTCTCTGAAATCCACTGCGATTTCAGCCATGTCTGTAATTACGCTGTATATAAGCAAAGAAGGCTAGAGAGAAAGAGCCACAGTTCAAAGTAATTTACCTTGAGCTAAACCTGTGCAGTGCCCAAAACCACTGCGGGGAAAAAGGCCCTAGCAGTTGGAAGGAAAACAAGGCAATTTAAATCTATAGTTTATGATTTGAAATTGTTTTGTTTGTTACCTTGTTTTTGTAAATTTCTTGGACATTTATTAAAAGGACATGTAGGTTCCACAAAAGTAAAAAAACAAAACAAAAAACATATACTGTAGCATTTTGTGTTTATATTGTTTTATTTCTACAAATCTGTTCGTTGATATTGTGCTTTAAGGCTGAAATGAAGTATATTATGAATTTTTTTTAAGAAAACTCATCCAATTTCAGGGTATCACAAAGTTTTATTATATTACTATACTGCCCACTATTTATTATATGTTATAGATGTCTGAGAGGTAAACCAAATATTTTATTTTTAATGTAAAAACATCAAATTTAACTTTATTAGCATATTTTAGCAACTTTGGAATAAATATGGACTTTTACTTGATTTTGAAATAATCCCAGTTTGGGCCCGTGCGACGGATCTCTTGAATGCTAGAATATGGGCTTTGAACCTAATACAAATATATTAACAGAAAATGTGATTTTTTTAATGCCAAGTAAATTGATATTAGTGTATGGATTAGTCCTATTTTAAAACATATTATGTGGTTAGAGAAATGTGGTTTTCTGCCATGAATGTTAAATTGCACATCAGTGGAAATGGAGTAGACCTTTCGAGGACAGGATACCATTGCCCTCCTTGTTCCAGAGGCCAGACTTTTTCTATCCCTGCAAAAAAAAAAAAAAACAAAGCATCTATGTTGAGATATGTGTTTTTTGTTTTATTAATTTGAGATCATTCTAAATACTTTATACAATATTTTCACATGCACAAATATACCCATTAGTGCTTTTTGGAGAGGGATGAGGGGTGGGGGAAGTGCAAAATAAAGATTATTGGCTATTTCATAGTTTGCTTTTCCATTTTCTTTATTTAGGATTTAGTTCCCTGAGGCATGGTCAGTGCATCTGAAGTTGCCACGTTTAAGTGAGCAGGTCACGCTACTGAAAAAAGAATGGAGGTGCCTGTATATAACTTTTTCCCCAATCCCACTGTCTGAGAGACTTCAGCCCACACTACATTTAAGGAATTTCAATCAGTTTGTTGTCCCTTGCTATTTCATGGTTGCTTTCCTAAATCCAGTTCATGATTTTATAAATGGTCTTTGCAATAATAAAACCAAAGAATCATTTTCAGGGGGCTGGATGGCTCGAGGGATTAGTAATGGAATACAGAGCCCTTCACCTCTAGGTCAGTGAGTCGGATCCAGCCCAGGTCACTAGAGACCAAAAGTCGTCACCATCTTACGACTGTTCAGTGGCCTGTGTGAAATGAACTGGTGGTCTCCGTCTCCACTGGGTAGCTGTCTGTGACACCAACCAAAGGAAGTTCGAGAAACTGCAAAAAGAAATGTGGATTAGAAAATAAAACATCTATGTCACACAGAAAAGTTAGAAAGTTGGGCACAGCCATTCTCCATAAAGTAACACTGAAAGAAAAAAGCAACTTACAGATACCACAGACATTCCAAAGACGGTAGAGATTAATTTGCTTTCCTTCTGAAGTCAAACAGAACAGGCAAAGCAAAAGCCTATATTGGGTGAGTGGGGAGAGAAATAAATTGGAGACGACGATTTAATCAGGAGAAAAACTTCAGGGGGACCCAAACAATAAGAAAAAATGGGTTTTGACTTTTGAGAGAGAAGGAAATCACAAAAGGCAGCAGGAATTTGAGGAACTAGTGAGAATTAGATGCAAAGGAATGAGAAGTATTTCCCTTTGGAGGGTTAGAAGTTTTCCAGTTGGAAGTAAAATCGTGACCTGTTTGAGTTTCTCCCAGCGCTATCATTGGAATAGCATCACTACTTGATTAAGAGACGTAGTCGGGAAAAAAATTGTCCCGGCTACTGATCTTACTAGAGGAGACGGTATTTAAGAAACTGAGAGCCCCTCACGCACGGGAAACTGAGAAGCTCTTGTGCCGCGATAATCTGCCTTCGGAGCCAGGTGTGGCTGGCAGCGCGTGCTTTCTGTGGCCGACAAGGTGTTTCTTTTCCAAAGGTGTCTGCAGCTAAGATCAGTGGGGATCCTCTGACCGGTTTGTGGTTCCAAATGTCCCGAAGAAAATCAGAGGGTATCAGAGTATTCTGACTTCGTCGGGCTTTTTTCAGAGATAAAATATAATGCATTAGTTACTGTATCACCTAAACTGCCTTTGTTCCCCTTTCAATGGGACGATTAAACAAAGACCTGCTAACCGAATGAAAGTATAAAATGAACAGAGATACGGAAACCGTGCCCCCGCGCATGCCGGCCAATGAAGTCCACTGAAGGCGTGCTGGCTAAGTTTGCAACACAAATAGTTCCACCGCCGATCTCTTTAGATCATAGCAGTCTTCTTTAGAGGTGTAAGTCTAAAGGTAGATGAGTTACCTCGACCGAGGAACGAAACAGAGACTGCCTGACTAACGTCTCTTTCCACAATGGCATCAGCCATTCTGTTAGGAAACTATTTCTTTGAGCATCTCTCATGAGCTGTGTCCTAAAAGGTATAAAGTAGCTATTAATCCATGCGTGCAGGCCGGTGGCTGACATCGAAAGGAGCTATTGAGACAGACAGCTGAACAGTTTATTCTTTTAAATATTCCATTGAGTCTACATGTGAGTTATTAAAACAACTACTAGTTTCTTGTTTTCATCCTGGATGACTCTGTGTTTAATTTAATTTGTAGAACAGTGTTAAACATTTTCATTCATTCATTCATTCCTTATTTGCAGGGCGCATTTTATGCAAATACTAACAAGCAACGCCTATCAGAACCAAGTTCATTTTCAGTAATCCGGTTTCTGAGGTGCGCTAGTCCCTGTTCTCACCCCATGGTTTTGCAATTGTTCCAGCAGTAGACTGTGTATTGTTATAAAACGTATCCAATTCTAAGAATATTCCATACTTTTTTCCCATTTTTCCATATATAGTCTTTCCACCTTAGGTTGCAGCTGGTTTTTAATGGTAATAGAGCCTTATGCTTTTAATTGTTTATATTTACAACAAAATAATTAAAAACTTAACAAATATTTCCACTAACTATCCTAGGAACTAGCAGGGTAGACATATGAAAAAAAAGATAAAGATATATACTGCACAAGATTTAAATGTGTTAGGCTTTCAGAACAGAAGCATATTTTAGGTACTTAGCCCTAAGCAATAATTTCCTACTATATCCCTGAAATCTAGTCAGTATTTTGTTAACCTTTTGAAGTTTTGTGGGGTTTTTGGTTTGGTCTTGCTTCTGATTAATGAAATGTTCATAATGGGACTACCTTAAACAAAAAACAAGAAACTCCACAAACCTGAAGAATGTCATTGTTATTATCCTTAATGAGTTAACTATTGCCAAATTAAGTGGTTTGAAGAAAATGTTTTGCTGGTTCTAGTTAACTCATTTAGAGCATCAGAGAAAGTTCAAATCATCCAAAAATATTATCGGGTTATATTCTGATTATTAATTATTATTATTATTTTTTTTTTGGAAACAGGGTCTCACTCTGTCACCCAGGCTGGATTGCACAGCACAGTCATAGCTCACAGCAGCCTCCAACTCCTGGGCTCAAGCGATCCTCCTGCCTCAGCCTCCGGCGTAGCTGGGACTACAGGTACACCCCACCACGCCCAGCCTGACTATTTATTATTGTTATTTGGGATGCTGATTACACTTTTTTCTGCTAGCTTTTAGAAAGTGAATTCTTTATAACAGGATTTCTAGATACCCAATTCTTCATCTTTCCTTCATTCTATTAATTTTGAACATGGTTATTTACAACATTCACAGAAACAGATATTAGGCCCAGAATGTCCTGCACTCTGTATATCCATACATTTCTCGAAAAAAATGTTCCTTAGTAATTGCTCTGGACATCCTGCACTGTGGGGACACAAAGACGGAAGAGACAGCATGTGTCCAGGCAGCTGTAATAGGAAACATCCCCAAAGGGGTACACACCTCCAAAGTGGATGCAAGCCAGAAATTCACAGCAAGATTATTGGTTTCGACTTC